TAATTTTGGTTTTTTTTTTTTTTTGAAAGCTTAGGGCAAAAGTAATACTACACAACTAGTAGTTTAGTCGGCTGAAAAATTGAATGCCTCCTCTACCTTGACTGTACCAGCAGCTTTGATTGCTTCAATTAAACTGAGCTGGTCCAGAATTTTTTCACCACCCACAGCTGATATCACTATCTCTATCTGGTGCTCTTTCAGCAGTTTCTCCATGGATTCCTTGTCATGCGCCAACCCCTGGAAAAACACATGCAACCCATCAGAAGAAATTCATCCCTACAAAGAAAGGAATAATTAACAACTCATAAAAGTATTACATGTAACACTGTGGCGCCTCTGTCCTGAAGGGCTTTGGGTACTTTGTTCTTGGAACTTGGCCTGACCAGAACGTAGGTGCGTCGACCAGCATCTAAGCTGGCCTCTGCCACAAACTGACCAATAAAGCCGGTTGCTCCGACGATGAGGACACGGCCGTTAGCTGTGGAGGCAGTCATGCTTGGTGGTCTTTAATTAATTTTTTCCTTTTTCCAAGCAAAGCAAAACACTAAGAAATATTGTAACAGCACTTGGGCTTCTTGGCGTTATTGCTAGATTTAGCAAACGGAGAAGAGTTGTTGAGACTTAAGAAATTGACCACAAGAAGCTTGGGGGGTGTTGGTCCCTATATAGGGAGGCTGAGGCCCGAGGGGTGCCCAAAATGTAAATCACAGACCAAGGCTTTCAACTACCATTCAGGCTTCAACAACTTCAGCCTTGAGCCCCTTGTCAAACTCTGATCCCTATACACTTGGCATTAAAAACATTCCAAGCCAATTGGTTTACACAATCATGTTTGTTTAGTCTGATTGTAAAATGGCTAACATGGAACATGGTCTAGATCCTTCAATTCGCATGCCTCTCAAGGAATCTTGTTTCTTTTTTTTTTTTCCTTTCCTTTTTGCCAAAACAAGTGTAGCTACATATCCTATACTTGCTTTACAAGATATTTCCATTATTATTATTATTTCTCTAATTAAATTTATTAATTAAACAAAGAAATGGATAAAGATGGTGTTTGACATCTTGACTGATAGCTGGGAAACTCGTGACTTTGATGAGAAGAAAAGGAAATTAAAATCGATCGCCCGGTCTTTTGGAGAATGATTGCCAGTGCAGTTGCTTCTAACATGGCATTGTCATGCAATCATGGGACTTTTATTTAATTTCTTTAAAAGATTTGAGATCAATACCATTTCTTTAAGTTTTAGATAAAATAATCTAATGATCAATTAAGTAGCAGAAGAAAATCGATTACCCACGTTGTTATGTATTAGCTGTTGATTGTTGATTGGTAATCACTAATCCCTCTCGATCTATCATTAATAAAAAAATCACTCCCAACCTTTTTAACGTATCCTTGGCTCAGAATTCAGATAGCAAATTGATGAAGCATGAAGTTTGAACCACTTAACTGAGCTATCAAGTAAAGCTATCAATGGCGGCTAATGGACTTCAACAATTTGTTATTGACGTTAAGGCTTCTGCTTCCCAATCCAAAGGGGTGGTTAAACTGCAAAGAATAATTTCTTTCTTGTACCAGTAAAATCAATGCCTTTGCCTACGCGACATTGCAATGAAAAAGTTTTATGAATATTGGTTTTATTTTTACCAAAATTAAGATTTTTTTTATATGTTTTTGGATTCATATCGAATAAGTCAAATAAATATATTATTATTGTCAGCATCCTATACCTAATGAAGCACAAGCAGACCAATCTAGTAAAAAGTGACCTTGTGATTAATTTCAAGAACTGTTCTAATCATTGTTTAAATAAGATTAAATTAAGTCGTTTCCCGATAATATTTACCCTTACCAAGTGCCAACCATCCCATTGTATTTTAATACATAATTTATTTCTCAAATTTTGTAGTCTTTTAAACTAATTTCCTTTTATCTTGTCGTTTTTGCCAATTCATTGTCACATGATCATGCTCTTCTTTCTTTTTTCTTTAACTAAAAAATAATAATAAAGCCAGAAAAAAAAAATTAAACCTATAATATTCTCTCCCTCTCTTTGTTTCTTCTTTTACTGCTTTCTTCCCATGCTATGTATAGTACTGCATTTTATTCATATAAAAATTTTTGTTGTACATATAAGATAGTTTGTAAGATCTAGTTTTTCCCTTTTTTTAATAAAAAAGAATATTGATTACAAACTACACTATATTGATTAATGTTTTAATTAGATTAAACAAAAATGATCCAAATTTTGTTTTCTATTAGTATTAAAAAAACCCATTAAATTTTATTTTATTCTTAGTGCTGGAATTCCTTGTTTTTTTCTCCCCTTCCTCTTTGTTGTTGTCTCACTATTCTGTCAAATTGAACATTTTCCAATAACCCCAAGACAATAGAAAAACATATAAGCATGTTAATATTCAAACAAAATAAGATCAAAAGGGGAGGAAAACTCTATTGTTCGATGGCTGGCTTGGTTATATTGCAAGCACATAGATTTAGAACATAAGTTTTGAATTACAAGATCTCGAAAAATAAGGTAACTTATATTATAGATCAAAGCATTTCCAAGAAAGATTGATAGTCAAATGTTTCTTCACCTTTTTGAATTTATCTATTAAAATATTTAAACTTAATGCTTTAGTCAATCCGTACTGCTAGGTGTATGATTTCTTAAAATGGACGTAGGATTACTGATGCTAATATTTTGGGTCACGAACCTTTTAATTTGGCAACACGATATCTCCCATAAAGTGAGATATAGGAAAAAATAAATAAAACATATACGATTATGAGATAAAGTCAATAAAACAAGTTTCAAGACAGATCATTGGTTGATTAACACGATACGAAATCAATTCACCGAAAGAAAATTTTTTGATTTTGAGTTCATTAACGACAATATATCCATCTATCCATGACGATTGTAGGGAGAAAATTACATTAAACCGGTCCAAAGACAACGATATATTCCTAAGAGTTAGACAAAGTTTGAAAAGTTTGAAGGTTGCTTCCTCACCTAACGGATCATGGTACTTACCTAACTTCATCTTGTTAAAATTACTGGTTGCGTACATGCACAAGTACAAGTCTTTGCAGTAGTTTTTGACGTTGTGTCTGTGTATCTAGGAAGTTATATGTAGGTAATAACAGCATGACTGGGCCTGCTGTCTCACGTCACTAAACATATATCTTCCTGTCTTCGCGAATGAAAGCCAAGCCGTCTACTTCTAATTTGCTCTTTGTCTCTCAAACAATAATTAAAGCCGATGGCAGTTTTGGTGGGGTTGTCCTGGTAGCCTAAGGCATGCGTGCAATGATTCCACTTCAACTTTTAGGCTCTAATTAATGGCTTCAGGGCAAAGGTTTCTTTCGTTTTCAACGATAAAGGCATAGAGTAATCATGGGACTGTAATTTGCAGGTTTATAAGGGTAGAAATTAAAGTAGATATGCAAGGAAATGGGAAGGGCGGAAAGCATTGTGAAGCCTAAACCCCCTCTTACCTCATTTAATTACCAATCGTGCATTAGGAAGAAGAATGAAAACTTTTTCCAGACCGTTTTCCCATTTTGAGCCGACCCAATGATTATAACATGTTGATGAAGCATTTAATATAATCATACCCAGTTTTGAAGTCAATTCGATGGATTATCATTTTCTTGACGTATTTATATATTTTGAAAAATAAAAATATTAAGTATATGCCTTTGATTCTCTTACCTACCAACTCGTGTGCCTTTAGGTTGAGTGGATATCTTTTAAAAATAACACTAGGTAGGACAAGGTTTCAAGTTGGAACCAGGCCATTGTAGAAGGAAAGGAGGAAAGGACGGAGCTGCTGCAAGGACCGGAAGGTAAGCATAGTGACAGTCGGCTAGCTATTTGGTTGTTGATAAGCAAAGCCATGTTGATGCTGGCAAATTTATGGCTCTTTGCCTGTCCATTTGGCACCTAGTGCATGGGCATTTAAATGATAAAATCTGGTGACCCCAAACCACCAAGAATATGTCAGGGGGATGTCATGCCCATGCCGTCATCTCCTTCTTGTTGCTTTCCTATAATTCTAGATTTCCTCCTCCTTTTGTTAATTCATTCTCTAGTTATTACTTTGGGGTAATCTTGTGATTCAATAAATTAGAAAATATAACTTTCACTTTAATGAAGTAAAATATAGAATTGATTTTGAATATTTGATTCATTAATTGATATATAATTTTTTTATTTTAAAAAAAAATTAAATCTTAATTTTCAATTTAAAAACTAAATAAAATATGAAATTAAGATAAGAGGGTTGGCGTGATAATTAAAAATCGTCTATTGACTACCCAAAAAGAAGGAGAAGGAAACAACTTTCCTCTTAAGTTATACCTAGCCTTTTTTGCAACACACTCATTGCTTTTTTTTAAGTCATCTAATAATGTTAATTTGGTTTCTTCTTCCTTCACTAATTTCCAAGCTAAAATTATCATCTCATCACCTTATCATTAATCTCGCAAATATTGTCAGGATCTCACCTCTTATAATACACCCACCATCGAAGTTTTAAATTTAAATTATTTCATTTTAATCACATGGGATGCTAGACGATCATCCACCAAAGTCAAATAATTTCACGAACATGTCGGTTAACGTGTGCCGTTAATATAAGTATATTTTTTATATTAAATATTATTATTGATAATTGATGTGACATTAGGTAAAAGTATTACTAACGTTAAAATAGATAGGTAAGGGGTTTAGTTAATTCTTGTCCAATTTTCTCTTTCCCAAGGCCGCCCTACCCTTTTGGGGGAAGGAAATGAGATGGCACCAGCGCAACAAAAGGACAACCCTGAGATCTGATGTATTCCGTGAAGATATTGTCCATCTCGCTGATAAGTAAATGAGACGCACAGATGGGTCAGACATGATTAGTCATGTCATCTCTGGTACAGATACGTATTAAATTCAGATTAGATATTTAAATATTGATATAAATAATAGAACCAGAATTTCACGTTTGAAGATAATATTTATAAAATAATTATACTAAAAATTTAATATTTGATAAAAATATAAAATAAGTTAAATAAAAAAAAATTATATAAATAACTCTAATTACATATTAAATACAAAATAAAGATATTTTGTAACAATAATTATATGTTTAGATTAGATATCTTTAATTGAAAATTGATCATCTTTTTTTAGAAAATTGAAAGTATTTATTATTAAATTAATATCAAAATTTTAAATAATTTTTTTTCAATAAAAATGATTACTAAATTTTTTTTCAAAAATCATTTGATATTTTATTATGAGTTTTGTTCTTAACGAATTTTATTACAGAAAATGCATATTTTGATATTGAAGTAAAAATTGGAAGAATAAAAAGAATTCGAACCAATCTATCAATAAAAAAGTAAATTTTTAATATTTCTGGTATTCTTCAATACATGATATAATTCAAAAAGTGTAAATATATTTTTTTGAATCTGGTTATGAAGATTGTCAAATTTGAATAAATTCAATTGATAACTTACATGTATTTTATCATATTTAGTAAAATCATCAAGAAGGTAATATTTAATTACAAGATTGTAAATACTTTCAACATTAAACGATTTAAAATTCAATTCTTATTAGAGTGAGTCTATTAAAATTAGTTGTTGATTAATTGTTATATAGAATTTTACCAAACAAAAAATAATTATAAAGATAAAATTATAAAAATTTTTAAAAAATAGAAATATATTAGGAAAATTTTAAAATTTGTGTGGAAATTAACTTATAAAATTTTAAACAAATAAAGATAAATCATAAAAATTTAAAATTAATGTGGGCGGGGCCCACTAGCCATCCTTCCCCTGCACCTTTTGTTCACGTGATCTTTTATGAG